TATATATATATATATATGAAAAGATCTTTACAAATGCCAAACGGCCTTGACCAAAAAGTACAAAAGTACAAAAATACAAAAAATAAATAAAAATATACAAGGTACTTAAACGACATGGTCTCCATCGGAGCCTGCCTCATCACCGACACCATCAGATTCTTCTCCGCCCCTAGATCCATCCAAACCCTCAAAGTCATCTTCATCCTCAGGATACGCCAGTTTCTTGGCCTCGGCTTCGAACCCCTTAGCACTTTCGACCTCAGCCGATAAATCAAAACCCCGAGCATGAATTTCTTCGAGTGCCTCCCTTCGGGACTGCCACTTCACTTATTTTGTGATATCATTCAGCTGGTCCTGAGCTACCTCGGCATCGGCCTTATACTGGGCCACCATCTCGTCGGCATCAACTTTGGTTACTTCAACCACCGACTTAGCCGCCTTAAGCTCCTTGGCAAGGGTCTCTCGATCAGAAACAATGGAGCTTAGCTGAGACTGGAGCTCCTCAATCTTTTGGGATCGTGCCTCAGCCTTCTCCCTTGTCGCTAGAAGTTGGACCTCCACCAAGGTAAATTGCGCCCGGGCAGTCTCCTTTTCCGAGGCCAGGCGGTCCATCCTGCCTCTCCACTCTTCGGCCTCGACCTTGACTGCATCCATCTCGGCTCGAAGCTGGTCGATCCGATCAATTTTCTATTAAACATGCGGGTTCCGACCATTAGACACCGTATCTAGCTCATCGTCACTAACTTCAAAAAATTTTACTTGTTCAACCAGGTCAACATGTTCTTTCCGAGCCGCTTCTAACTCAGCTCGAAGGCTCTTAGCCTCTCCTTCACGCTGCTCACTGAGAAGTTTGTACGTATCTCTCTTCTTAGTAAGCTCTTTGACTTTGGTTTTGAGCTGGTTCAGCTCATCCCGGTATCAGAGGAAAGTTTCATGGTGAAGCACCGAGGCCTACAAACACGAAGAAAAATATTAGGATTATCAATGAATTAATTCAAGTATAAAAGGAGTAATTGAAATCATTGAGAGTTATCTAAAGTTACCCGGTTCAGTGTCTGTTGTGCTTCGTTGAATAGGTAGGGCGCGTCTACCTCGTTCATTTTGGCTCGGTCTTCCTCGGTCACCAAGCACCGAAGGTAACTGGCCACCCCTACGGGGGCGGAAAGAACTCGAGCATCCTCTGAAATGGTAATGACAATGGACCGCTTCTAATCAGGATCCACACTCGAGGCAAGGAACCGATTGACCAATTTCGGGCTCGAGTTAGGCCCGCCTGCCCCTAAGGTCGGACTCTTCCTCGGTACCTCTATGTCACCCAATCCGGTGATGTCTTCCATGGCGGTGGAATCCACGCCATCAAAAAAGCAGCGGAAGGTGTCATCCGCTCCATGGGCCCCTTCGTTAGGGCAATATTTCACCGTTTGAGCCTCGTTGTACATGGACTCGGTGAACGAGGGCGACTCGTTGATGTCTATCACACCGAGTGCCTCCTTCAGGGTATTGCCCGCATCTTGGGAAGCCTCGGCTCCGGTCTCCTCATCGATCTCCCTAGCTTGAGGCAGATTTGCCTCACAGATCTCTGGTTCGGAGGCCCCCTGCTTTCCGAGATGTGATGGCTCACGGGCCACTAGAACAAAGGGTTCTTCTTCTTCGGATTCGTCCCTTAGCCGATAGAGTGAATCCGAAGTTGGGGCTCGGGCGCTGGTGCTTTCTTTTGACTTGCGCACCAGCATTCTCCTTGTTTTCTTTTTCTCCGAGCTCGGGGAACTTGGAGACCTCTTTCTTTTCTTCTCTTTGTCCTGTCTCGGAGCAGGGGACTCGGTAGGTAAGTCCTCGCTACCGGCTGGAGGCCTCAACTCGACATCCTTAGATAAACCTGCAAAAAAGAAGTAAATGGAGTAATGGCTTAATGTTAAAAGAGAAATCTTAATACTGCCTACTTGGGAAAGAAGCCTTACCATGGGAGCGAGCCTCCCAACGGCCCTTCGAGAGCTTGCATAACGAGCGCTCGGAATAGGGCATATGTGATACGATACCCTCGACACACTCCTTGAGTTGTGGAACGACATTTGGGACCCGAGCTACGGCTGCACCAGCACAAATCACCAATAAGAAAAAGAGAAGTAAGTTTAAAATCGAAATTTGAAAGTAAATCGTACTTACATAAGGTATTTCACTTATCGGGGAATGGCCTGCACTCAACTAGGATTAAGTCCGAAGTCCTCATTCTGACAAAACGGCCTTGCCAACCCCGATCCCGGTCCATATTGATATTTGAGAACGAGGCTTTACTGCCCCGCCGCATAAGCTTTATCATTCCCCCCCAGAAGATTCGGGGACTGTATAAGCGTAGAAGATGGTAGATAGTGAACGAGCACCCATTGATTTTGTTCACAAAGAACCGGAGGAGGATCACGATCCACCAGAGCGATGGGTGAATCTGGCCTAGGCACACGTTGTACCTTCTGCAAAAATCCAAAATGACCGTATCCACCGGGCCCAATGTAAAGGGATACGTGTAAACACTTAGGTATCCCTTGACATGGGTGGTAATGGCTTTATCAGGTTGGGGACCACTATGTCCTTATCGACCCAATTACAGTCTTTTCAGACCGTGGGGAGAATCTCTTCGGTGATCGAGTAGATATATCTCAAGACCTCCTCACACCAGCCTTGTAAGGAGGAAGGCTTTTCGACCTTGAGATCGACGTTGACCGAGTATCCCCCGAGGATGAACATTTTCAAAGAGGGTTCAGGTACTGGTTCATCGACAACAGCGCGCGAAACAATCTCCTCGACCTCAGTAGCCGATCGCGAAGTAGAAGGATTTTCTTTCCGGGGAACGGTTTTTGAAGTCTTTGCCATTTCTTTAAAAATGGAGGAAAATCCGAGAAAGACGGAGAAAGAAAGGAAGTTTAAAGATTGGACTTGATGGCTTAAGATGAAGACGGGTAAAAATTCTTGCAAAGGATCTCGAAAAAACGGAGTAAAAGTGCTAGAAAGTGTTGAAATCTTAAATATACGAGGGTAAAAGGTTTGGATTTAAAGTTAAAATGAACGAATGATGGGGTATTTATAGTAGTTCAGCGACGTTTGGCATCCAGGGACGGCCAACCATCGACTAACATGCATTTAATACCATTAAAACTTGACCGACGAGACGTTTCAGTCGTTTTGTCGTTTCTGTCACGGTGTATCGAAGTAAGAATCAGAAGCTCATGTCGTTTCTCGTCGTTTACTCTCCGAAAAAACAAGGGTACTATCTGTATACGGGTAAAATCGAGTTCATGGTGCATCCTAACCTCTGACGAGATAAGCCAGGCTCGAGATATGGCAATAAGGGACTGAAACCGAGCCAAAGTCCCACCGGGCTAGAGCCTGGGGGCATGACGCATGCCTTCGAGGATATCGAGGCCATGATCCCGAAATCGGTCCTAGCCTCGAATGCCTTCGGAGAATATTGTCAGACGATCCAGCATGGCCAACATAAGGCCAAAATATCCGTGACCGGCCAAATGTTACGGCGGGAATCTCGACACGTATCGATAAGGAACCGACAATCATCGAATCAAAAGATTTTTTACCTTTTATAGAGTTATATCTAAAATATAACTCCCCTACTATATAAAAAGGATCTAACAATTTATTTGAGACATTGTAACACGCACTCAAAAGCAATACATTATTATTTACTCTCTCTTTAAGCTCTTGTTCTTCTGTATCTTGACACCGATTATGGTAAATTCGGCTCGAGGGTGATTATTCCTTCAAGGCTGAAATTGTCCAATTCGTGTGGTTTGAATTTACTTTGTCATTATTTATTCAATTGCAACTTAATTTATCGCTTTTTATCAAGTTAATCCGCGTATCCTTAAAATCACTTATAAATTTAATTGTTATCCGATTTTGAGGGTAAATAATATTATTTATAGAGCATTTGATTTTTGATAAATCTATTTACTAATATAGTCTTTACATAATTAATACATTCCGAACCAAAGATGTATTACTATTGCTCGTATAATTTATTCTTATATGAAATAATAATATAGTCGGACCCAATCAAATTACACTTTCTTTTTATACTTCAGTCGATCCTTTTGGGATAAATTACATTAAATACTCTTATAATATACTCCCTGCGCATCATATTCTCTCGTACACGTCTTTAAGAAAAAATAATTACGATGGAATTTTGACTATTTTACCCTTATTTATGTCTTAATATTTAATTTTTTTCATTGGTATTTGAACAAAGTTAGTTATTTATAATTTTCAAGGATAATTATTATTAAGGGTAAAAAAATAAATTAATTTTGTTTTGAACTTTTAAAGTGATAAATAATTTGAGATAATTATTTTTAGTAACTAATATGATACGGAGGGATAAGTAATTAAGTTACAAATATGTGTTGTTTTTAACTGGATCTTAATTTAGGGATATTTATGCCTTTTCTCAAAATAAAAGGGTCCATTAGAAGTAACCCACCTCTTTTAGAGAACCTAAAAAAAACAGTAACCCCGTCCTCGACCAACAACGAGGAAGAGATTTGCATTTTACCGGCTATTGTCCTTTCGAAACTTTCCCCTGTAATAGTTAACACATCGGTGGATGGCTCCACTAAAGAAATCGAAGAAAACGAAGAAAGATTCAAAGAAGTTTAAGAAAATCAAACACAAAAACAAGAAAAACAAGTCCATTGGTATTGTTGCAGTTGAGAACAAAGGAAGTAGTGAATGCGATTGGTGGGACAGTTTCTGGCACAAGAACTCACCAACCCCAGGTCCCTTTACATCTCTCTGTTTTTACCCTGCTCGAAGTTCCATTCTTTTACTAGATTTTAGCTAGAATCTGCTAATTGAATTGTATTTGAAACCCATTTAACTTCAAATACTGTTGAAAAATTCACTATAGCTGTGTAAGCCTTTACGTAAAACTCGATCAGGGTGTGGTAAATGTCAAGCTCGGAGCTTTATGCCTAATTTATTCAAATTTGGTGCATTATTTTAACCCCTTCTATGTGAAATTCACAAAGCATAACAGGTCCAGACTTGGAAGTGGGTTACTGTAGGGTAAAGGGTAGTGTACAATTCCCAAAAAGAAAAAAAAGAAAAAAAAAAGGTGATTCCCATCTGCCTAAGCCTTGGGGCAGAGTTAGCCGGTACTTGTGCTGGTGGGTGTTAGCAGGTACCCGGTGGAATAGTCGATGCTCGCCCAAGCTGGCCGGACACCACCGACTTATAAAAGAGAGTAGTGTGTAAAATAGTATGATGGTTCATATAGTCGAGTCCAATTAGTTTGGAACTAATATGTACTTGATTGATTTACTGCATTTTATCTCTGGATTCTTGAAGTATACTTGAAGTCAACCCTCTAACACTAGAAAGAAAAAACATGTTTACTCATTTAAGACTCTGTGCTGGAAATGGACTCTTCTGCTTGGAGCTTTAGCGTAATATATTCTACAATTCAAAGTAGTAAAATCCCAGGCTGTTTAGACATAGTTGAAGCCAGAACTTTTACATTGAAAATTTGTGTGGTAGGAGCTGTTACAGTTAGGATATTTAAGCTAATAATTCTTAGGTTTGTAATACGATTGTTATCTTTGGTATGGGTATGAAGGTTTTTCCCACTAGATTGACCCTAATTTCCTCAAGAAAGCACGACGGTGAGGTGTTGATAATATCTTCCTAAATTGCCGTTGTCTGCATTTTGGCGCGGTCTGCATGAATATTTTATGTAACAAGAATTCTTGGTCCCCGTCTTACTCTTTTCTTTTTGCCTCTTTTTTGCAATTTGTCTTTTTCGTTTTTAGTCTCTACAATGCAGGGATTAACTCTCCCCTATACCTATTATATCCTGTAGGTTGTGGTGTACCTTGTGATGAAGAGGATGGTTTCAAGTATTTCTTCCGTGTTTCAAAGAAGACTTTTGATTACATATGTTCGCTTGTAAGGGAGGACCTTATCTCAAGACCTCCTTCAGGTTTGATAAACATTGAGGGAAGGCTTCTTAGCGTTGAGAAGCAAGTTGCAATTGCGTTGAGAAGATTGGCTTCCGGTGAATCCCAAGTTTCAGTTGGGGCATCATTTGGTGTCGGGCAGTCCACCGTGTCTCAGGTTACCTGGAGATTCATTGAGGCGCTGGAAGAACGTGCAAAGCACCACCTTAAATGGCCAGAACCTAGTAAGATGGAGATAATCAAGTCTGAATTTGAACAATCATTTGGATTACCTAACTGTTGTGGAGCAATTGATGAAACCCACATCATAATGACTCTTCCTGCAGTTCAAACCTCAGATGATTGGTGTGATCAGGAAAACAATTACAGCATGCTTTTGCAAGGTATCGTCGACAGCGAGATGCGTTTTCTAGATATTGTGACGGGATGGCCGGGGGGCATGGCCACTTCGAGACTGTTGAAGTTCTCTGGATTTTACAAACTCTGTGAAAGCGGTGATCGTTTAAACGGAAATGTCAAAGTGGTTGAAGGAGAAGAACTTAGAGAATACATTATAGGAGGTTTTGGTTACCCTCTTCTTCCGTGGCTTATTACACCATATGAAGGTGACGACCTCTCAGATGCTATGTTGGATTTCAATGCATTGCATGAGACTGCTAGGTCAGTTGCAGTGAAGGCTTTTGCGCTATTGAAGGGAGGTTGGAGAATCCTTAATAAGGTTATGTGGAGACCTGATAAACAGAAACTCCCAAGTATCATCCTCGTGTGTTGTTTACTTCATAATATTATCATTGATTGCGGAGACCGATTACATCCTGACGTTGCGTTATCTGGTCATCATGACCCAGGATATGAGGGACAGAGCTGCAAGCAGATTGAATCAACAGGGAGATTAATGAGGGACAAATTAACTAAACACTTACAGGTTAACAAAAAAGAAGCCTCGATCTAGATGATCAGCTAACATTGAGTGGTGTAACCGAACTGCAGATATTGTTTAAAATTTTTAGAGATGAGACAAAGCAGTTCACGATCTTTTGCAAGTTACATGTTTTGACTGGAACCAAAAAAGAGTAACTTGTAAGGATGAGTTGTGCGTTTTATGGGACTTGTTTAAAATCAAGAAGACTCGCTCGGTGCGTTTTGAAGAACCAATTATGGGCGTGCTACCTGAACCTGATATTTACTCTCCAAAAATTATTGGTACAGTAAATATCAGGCTCTGGTAACACATCCATACTTGGTTCTTGAAAATGAACCGAGCGAGTCTTCTTGAGTTTTTTGGATGAGTTTTCACTATTGTCATTCGAAACCCTCTTCCCACTACTAGTACCTGACATTGTCTTTGATGAACGTGCCCCATCTGTTTGGACATCACTGGTCCTTCTTGCTCCCCCTGGCACAGATGGACGGAAATTAGGATTGGCACTGTAATTGACATAGCCAAATATCTCTCTCAACATTTTATGTTGTAAAAGCCTTTTCTTACCACCATGGTCCTGTGAAAGAAAATAAATCGAGGACCTTTACTAGAGTATAAAGCTTAGCTTTAACAAACTTACCAAGTAAAGATCTTCCCACAACTCATCCTTACAAGTTACTCTGTTTTTTTTTTCTTTTTGTTCCATTCACAACCACTAACTTGCAGAAGATCGATGAGCTGCTTTGTCTCATCTCTTAGCAAGATCCTAAATATGGAAGATATTCTCACTCTCAAATAGCTGCATTCACATTGTGGATTTTACTTGGTGATTTCTTGCTACTATTAGCAGGGCATCTCTTCCCCAAGGAAAAAGAGGGCCTCGTCAAAAAGCTTTGCTTCAGACCATGCTGAAGATAAAAACGGAGTTCAGGTGCAAGATCTTTCTGAATGTAGAAGAGGCTACTTCATGGTCCTTGAGTATATGTGATGACTTACAATTCATACCAAATCTGTTTAACATGTCATTTAGGTAAAATCTTTCTACATTATTCTGATCATGACTCCTGTTCATTTTTGTTGTGACATTTAGCCTGTTCTAGATCATCTTTATTTAACTCGGGGCTTGAATCAACTGTCAATAGATGCTTAATCTTAACGGACGGCTGCATGTCTTTCTGGAAAAGGTTAAAAGGATAGAGGGAAAGAAAAGGTCTTTCCGAACTAATTCTTGTCAACAATTTTCAAGGAAGGGAAAAGGAAGTTAATAATATAAAGTTAATTACCCTTATTCATCCAACATTTTAAGCCACTGGTGGTGGTTACCATTTCATTCCCCTCCCCTTTTGATTCCCCTTTGGTCCCCCTTTGTTGGAGCTATTGCTCCTTTGGTAACTCAAACCCACAACCCTGAGGTTGTAGGTGTGTGGGTGGGTGGGGGGTGGTGCTAACCATCTGAGCAACCCCCTCTTATCATGATGAACTATTTGTAAAAGCTGGTGAAGTTCTTAAGTCTATGGTGCAGAACAAGCTGCATTTTGCGAGACAAAATTTCTGGTGTAGTGATAAGCTAATTGATCTTGGGAGGAACAGTGATGTGAAACAGAAAGCAATCCAACAGTTACTCGTTCAAGAACGGTATGCACCTCAATGTACTTCTATTTGCAGGTAAACAAAAAATTTTGGCGAACTTGAGATGAGAAGCAATCAGTACACAGGTGACATTCATTCTTTTATTAATTAGAGCACATTAATTTTACAAAAGGTGGAGAGAAATAAAGCCACTTTCAGCTTTTTCTAAGGAAGAGTACTGCAGTAGAATGTGGCTCCTTTAAGCCAATATGGTATGCTACATCTTTACAAATTAGATGCACACATGAACCACTACAACACTGTTCAATAATACTACTAATAAAGTAGACCAATCAATTAATTTCAAGTCAAACGTTGTTGCTCCATTTTTGGGATGCATCATCTGTTGTAGATTTTGGTTTGCAGGAATGAAGCATGAAATTGCATGCTCCCACAGCTTCCCCTACTGTTAGAAAGATCCATTCTTGTCCTAATGTCTCTATGAATTTGGACTTGTTCAACTTTTTCATCACCTCTGCTCCTGGATTTGCCAACACAAGCTGCATTGCCACAAAAAAAAAAAAGCCATATGTTACACAAATTTATCTTCTATGCACAGACTGTCCATAAAAAGCAGGATCAGGATTAGTAACCTGAATTATAATGTAGGTTACCTGCTATAATAAGTTATAAAACACTGATTGTATAAAAATGGTCAAACTTCTCTATAACAGTCTCGCTTGTTCTGATATTTTTTTGGCTGTTATAGTGAAGTGCTGTTATAGAGGATATATACTATAACATAATATAAAAATCAGTTGCGAGAAAAACTTGGCTTTTATAGTGACCGCTGTTATAGAGAGGCCTGACGGTAGTACTTTTAGTGTATGTAAGTTAAATCCTACGTGATAGATCTACTTTATGGTGCACAATTTATCTTTATAACATATTTGTTGCGGAAAAAAAATAATATTCGGAAAATAAGAGGCCAACCTTGTAATCTCTTCTATCAAGATTTTTCTTAACTTCTTCGAGCATGCTAATTCCACTTGTATCAATGTTTCCTACAGCTGCCAATCAAAGAATGTTTTAGCTGTCAATGCTCAAATTCAGTTTTAAATTTTCTTGTGCTACGTTTTAATGATTTTGCTATTATTTCAAAAAGATAAACTGAGTGATGAAAGAAATTATAGACTGCATAAATTAACTAACCTCCCATATCAAGTATAACATACTGCAATGTTGTTTCTCCTGAAAATTTTAACTTGTCTTCCTCTTCGTCAATCCACCTTGAGATCCTATAACAAGATTTGAATTAACCATAATTAGTCGAGACGTGTGCAAGCTGATTCAGACGTCACGGTTATCAAAAAATAATTACCTCTCCCTTAAATAGCTAGAATTAGCGAAGTAAATAGGGGCTCCAATATCAAGAATGAGAACGCCTGGAACGTTGTTTGTATTTGGGTAATGCTCAACATTTCTGTAGATCATAGAATCTGGGATATTACCAAGTACCAACGTCCTTGGCCTTGCTATAAAAAGTAACACCCTTAGCAACGATAATCCTACCTGCATTTCCATTAAACAACATATTTATAAGTCAAACCATATCATTATCGGTCAAGTTTAACACTGTAATTTTTTTTAACACTTAGTGCATAGAACATAAGGGATACTTACGGCTAAGACTAAGCCAATCTCAATGTTGGCAAAGACAACGCCAATATAAGCACTGATGCAGACCAAGAAGTCGAATTTGTCGACATGCCAGAGATGAATGGCAGCATTATAATCAATGAGGCCGAGCATAGCGGAGATGATAATGGAGGACAGGACGACGAGGGGAGTGAAGTGGAACAATGGCGTTAGCAACAACAATGTCACCATTACTGCCAACGCCATGACGATGTTTGATACTGCAGTTTTGCATCCTGCGTTAAAGTTCACTGCTGATCGCGAGAATGGCCCTACAACATAAATAATATTTACACTATCAGTATATTTTAACTTCTTATAGAAGGTTGACTGTCTTATTTTTCAAGTTACTAATGCCACATATTGTGGACAGTTGTATGTAATTATTTTTTAGGGAAAGCAGTAGTGTTAGAGCCTGTTTGGATGAGCTTAAAAGTTGGTAAAAAGCACTTTTTAATCTGTGGAAGTGTTTGGCAACAAAAAAAAAAGGTTTAAAAAAATTAAAATCTGCTTAAAAAAAAGCCAAAACCAGTAAGTTGGAAAACCCAATTTTTTCGAAATTGGCTTAAAAGCCATATTGCTTTGACCAAATATATTACATTCTTATCCCTTATAATTTTTCTTAATCCCGAAATTACCCTCGCTTTCTTCTTCGTCTTCTTCCATAACTTTCCTCTCTTTTCCTTTCGTTTCTTTCTTTACACTTTCATTCATTATTTTCCCCTCTTTTTCTTTTCCTTTCATTTCTTTCTTTTCGCACCCCTCATATTTTTCAGTAAAATATTTTTACATATTCGAAGAACTTTTATCAATCTAAGTGGGGAAAAAATTAAAGGGCAGATGAATTAGTTGCGATCTATTTTTAATTTTTTATTTTTGGGTGGTCGATTTATTAGTTTAAAGAAAAGGTTGATTTATTGGAATGAGAAAGAGGAAACTTTTTACAAATAATTGGCTCAATAGCTCATCTATCTTCCCATTTACTAACCCAGCAAAAAATAGCAAACACACAAGACAAAAATGAAACAATCATCTGTTTGAAGCTATGAACAAAAAATATAATATTATAGTAATCATCTTGTTTATAATGTTAACAACTTTAAGGATAATTCAGTCATTTTAACAAGAAAAAGTGCTTACGAGCACTTCTTTACCAAACACTTCATCAGCTTTTTTTTCAGTTTCAGCACTTTTATCCAAACACGTAACTGTTTATTTATAAAATAAGTTTCAGCACTTATAAAATGCTTTCAAGCAATTAACTTAAAAGCCACTTATTTTAAGCCAATCCAAACGGGCTCTTAGTCTTTTAAAAAACACAGACCTGTTCACATTTTGCTCCATTTAAACTTATTTGACTAAACTACTCCATAAATTTACGTTAAATGTAATGTTAATTTGCTAAGAAATTGAAATGTCCTTACTACATTCCTCATTCTTTCTTCTTTTAATTTGTCTATTTTTTTTTTCCTACAAGGAATTGTCAATAACATAATATCCCTTAAGTTACGCATATTACGACTCAAACCTAGACAACCCCACTCGTTTCTTACCTTTCACCCCTCCAATTTTTAATATATTCCTTCCCATATAATATGGTGTAATTATGTTTCCTCTTTTCCAATCTCTGTCCCATTAATCTTAAGGCTTTCTTTCTCTCTCTCTCTCTCTCTCTCTCTCTCTCTCTCTCTCTCTTTTTTTTTCTTCCTTTTGTTGGTAGGCATGTGGAGACATACAATCACGTGGTATGGGCCCAAATGGGATGTTCGTTTTCCTGAGTAATGGACAAGAAGTGAGAATAATCCATTTCAACTTTCGGCCCATAAAGGAAATAAAAGAGAAAAGGGAAATAATAACGAGAAAATAACACTGTATAGCCGCGCTAAAAGTGATAATACCCAATAATAACCAAGTCATATATGATATAGGGGTCGTTTGGTAGGAGTATAAGAATAGTGCAGAATACAGTGTATTAGTAATGCAAGGATTAGTAATGCATGAGTTAGTAATGCAAGCATTAGTTATGCAGATATTATTTCTTATAAACTGTTTGGTGTGGTGTATTAAAAATTATAATGCATTGCATAATTTTAAGAAAAATAGTTGTTTACAAAAATGCCCTCCATATTCTCTAGCTTTAAGGGACTTTAAGGACAATTTTGTCTTTAACCATACTAATGCATTGCATTAATAGCCTTGGTATTACTAATGTCATGGTTTTCTATGCATTACTTATACATAGGCTAATACCAAGTATGATGTATAACTAATACAAGTATTAGTTATACATATGTTGAAAAAATATACCAAACAAAGTATTAGTAATGTACAAAGCTAATGCTTGCATTATTTTTTTTAATACCTTCTGCCAAACGGCCCCATAGTAGTATGGAGGAACATACCAGTAGTGAGGTAGCAGGAGGTGCAGGAGCCAACAATATTCATCATCCCAAAAGCAATCATCTCTTTGTTTCCATCTATATGGTAATTCTTGAACATTGCAAAGCTTCTCCCTACTGCTATTCCTTCCTGTCCATATCAATAAATTAAAGGTTTTAATTTTAGTGTAGTGTGTTATAAAGAGCCTCAAATATATTAAAAAAATTCTATGCCACATAATGCAATTATAAGTATACGAAATACACTTATTGTCTATAACCTTGTAAGTTTACGGTGTCACTGAAAGTGGCCTTCAAAGTTCGCACACAATTTATAGAATTTTGATTCATACATATATGACAAGAAGTTATATACACTGATATTGTATAAAATGTTATACTATAATTGCAATTTTACTAGTGACTTTTGGTCGCCAAAGAAGCCTCAAGAAGCAACAAATTATGGAATAGTTACAAATTAATTACTCCCTCCATTCACTTTCAGTTATCCAATTTTGACTTTGCACTCTTTTTAAGAAAAAATAAATAAAGTTTGTTTTACTGTTTTACCCATAATAATGATAACATTTCAAAAAGTCTTGAAAAATGATTCGGGGAATGAACAGTTAATGATACGGGTAAAGTAAAGGGCATCCTGGTGCACTAAGCCTCCGTTATGCGCGAGGTCCAAGGAAGGACCGGACCACAAGGGTCTATCGTACGCAGCCTTACCCTGTATTTTTGCAAGAGATTGTCTTTATCTTGATTAGCTAAAATGGACAAGTAAAAATGAAAATATATTTTTAATATAATAGACAAGTAAAAATGAAAATAAATTTAAGTTTTATACTCTAATATTGTATTCAAATTCAAAGCGGGGAACATTATCAAGATCCGTCCATGCACACATGTTTTGTATGCTTGTTCTTGAAATTGTAAATAGACGTAAAAAAAGAACATTAGATAGTGAAAAGTAATGCAAGTAGGAGGAATTGCAGCAG